CCCCCACCACCCCCATCACCACCACCACCACCACCAAAACTTGTAGTCTATCTAGGATTATTCTGACTAATAAGGCTTTACATAGACATTGGAACTGGAGGCATGACTCAAGTGATAAGTGATAGTGTCAGCCATAATTTGGAGCCCAAGTACATACATTCAAGTCTGAGACACACAGTAAAGATTAGCACAGTACTGTATGTGAATGTAATAATTACTGCTAGCATTCATAGTTCTGAGTAGTAAGCACTAACGATCCTGACTTTAGGACCCACATCAGAAAACATTTGTCTATGCAGGAAAAAGGATGGCAACTGTCAAAAAACTGTACCTTGCTCCTCCTTTACTTTTCAACTTGTTTTGGGAGGCAAGAAACTGTGACGGCAACATAAAGTGGTGTAGGTCAAACTTCTTCCGAAGTTCAGTAATTACCTACAAAATTAAGTATTAGTCATGTGTCCTGCAAACTCTCCCAACAGAACCATAGTAACTCCTGAAAGACTGAGGAAGAAAAAAATTTTAATGCCAGGCTGAGAATTTTGAGAGCAGGTTAATAAGACAAGTTAATGCCAAATAGAGTATGTCATCCCAGAATCCCAGATTTCCTTAGACACTAATACACAAAAATAGTAAATACAAGCCAGGCGCTGGTGGCTCATGCCTGTAATCCTAGCTACTCAGGAGGCTGAGATCTGAGGATCATGGTTCAAAGCCCGGGCAGGAAAGACCGTGAGACTCTTATCTCCAATAAACCACTAGAAAACCGAAAGTGGAGCTGTGGCTCAAGTGGTCAAGCGCTCGCCTTGAGATGAAGAGCACAGGGACAGCGCCCAAGCCCAGAGTTCAAGCCCCATGACCGACAAAAAAAAAAAAAAAAATAGTAAATACAACTGAAGCAGCTTCAAAGAATAATCTGACTAGTGGCTCCTGTCCTTTCCTCAATGTGTCTGCAACAATCAGCATTATCACCTAGTCTGGGGGCAGAGAAGAACAATTTAGACTAGTAATTTATCCTGATTTTTTTTTTTGTCAGTCATGGGGCCTGAACTCTAGACCTGAGCACTGTCCCTCAGCTCTTCAGCTCAAGGCTAGCCCTCTACCACTTGAGCCACAGCACCACTTCCAGCTTTTTCTGCTTATGCCGTGCTGAGGAATTGAACCCAGGACATCATGCATGCAAGGCAAGTACTCTACCACTGAGCCACCTTCCCAGCCCCAGTATATTTCTTTATATAGATTTGGTGGGAATTAATAGAATACCTCAAGTGCATTGGTGGCTGTTGCAGAATGAAGAATAAACTTCATTATCACAGGTAAATCATCCAGTCTGAGAGATGACAGTTTACCCATCACTAACCGCCGTATCTAAACATAAAAAAGCACAAAGAACTTCTTTCAATGGAAAGTGAATACATTCATAATATTCAATGTACATATGTAAAAATGGAACCAGGTAACTTGAGGGGATAGATAGGGTGAGGAAGAAAAAGAAAACCTTTTCATGTCATTACTTTAGCCAGCATGACTTGTTAGTTAAAATTAGAAAAATTGGCCAAATGTAAGTGGCTCACGCCTCTATTTCCATCTATTCAGAAAGATGAGATCTGAGGGGCTGGGAAGGTAGCTCAGTGGTAGAGTGCTTGCCTTGCATGCATGAGGCCCTGGGTTCGATTCCTCAGCACCACATAAGCAGAAAAAGCTGGAAGTG